CTGTGGCTCTGTCCCTGACATATTTACAAAAAAGTAGATCCTCACACAGGGAGTTAGACATGTCAAAACGTACATAAGCAATAAACAGACAGTCTTTGTTGCTGTCAGTTGCTTCATCAAATTGTAAGGCAAAACGTTTGTCTTTGAGTTTATCTACCAGCTGTTCTTGAAGATCGTTAGCAATGTCATCTATACGTCTGGCGACAGTGTCATTGGACAGAGGGATAGTTTTTAGTTTTGCTGCACTGGCGTCGTCCAGCATGACAGAGACCATGTCTAATGCTGCAGGCAGTATCAGCTCCTCTGCTATGGTGTGGGGCTTTTTGCACTGCGCAATTTGGTACGCCACCTTATATGATGCTAACAGCGCTCGATGGTTTACTGAAGTAGCCTTCACAAAGCGGGATGACTGTTGGCAATATTCAGCACGTTTTCGCTGAAAAAACTCTAGCGGCTTATCGGCGTGATTGGGGTGTAATGTATTTAAGTGACGCGCTAATTTATTTGGCTTCATGCTGTCCGCTGCGAGCATTTTTAGACACAGCAAACACACCGGTCTTTCCTCTTCTCCAACTGTAGTGACAGTGAAGCCAAGCGCTAAATACGCTTCGTCGTATTTCCTCGTCTTAGCTTTCGGGTGACTTTCTTTTCTCTCATTATCTTTGTCTCTCTCCGCTTTTCTTTTCATCCCTGTTAAAAACTTTTTCATGTTGGCGGTTTTTATGTTGAATAACAGAGGCTTTAGACAGAACGCAGTCGGAGCTTTCTGTTGACTCAACACTGGTAACCAGGTAACCTTGTAAGCCGTAAAATGTTGCACTGTCGCAAACGTGACAGAAGTAAAAATTACAGCGCCACTGCCGCCTACTGTAGTGGATGCGCAATTACACTTTATAATAGTACGGCCCCAAAAAAAAAGCCTGTTCCCTAGGGTCACACGCGCCCCCCCAGGTATCGCACCACGCCCCCCAAAGGGGGCGCGCCCCACTATTTGAGAAGGACTGCATTACATATATTTGAAAATATAATTTTTCTTTCTGTGATTACATGTTGTGCATTGCTGGGTAATGGGGCTCCAGCTGTGTTAAAGATGAATAAAAAAGTTTTGTAAATTATGTGGTCTTCTCAAGGGGTTTATGGGTGCTGTGGTGATATCTGTTTTCAATAAATTTATAATGCAGTGTTTGTAGTGAGATGCCTTAGTACAGGCCTCTAAAGCTTTGTTCTGAAGCCAGAAGATGGGGTTGCTTGTAAAAGCATAGCTTTATTCCTGAAGCGAAATCTTAAATCAGTCCTTTTTAACATGACTAGCCTGGAGCATATTGCCCTGTATGGTCTTCTACATAAGTGGTAGTGTGATTTTTATTTTTTCACAGTTTTTTACAATGCAAGCACAAACCTCTATGTTTTTTATTGAGATGGATTCTTTGTGTTAAACACACACAAAGCAGTGCATAAATGTAAATAAAAAACATAGAACCACATTTTACCTTAAATTTACCCAGATATCTTTGGGATATGTCTTTAGTACAAAAAGGTATATGGAGTTTGATTTTCTTCCTGTTAGTTATTGCTAAATAACTTTCTTATTGGTTGATGGAGAACCTCGGTGAACTTCTAAGCAACCTCCAAGTTTGATACATACTCTTAATTGGATTTAAGCTGGGAATTAATTCATAAAAAAAAACAAACAAAAAAAACATCCTATTTCAGCAATAGCTGTATTTTTAAGATTGTTTTTCCAGCAGGTAGGTAAATGCGCTGCCTGATGTTAACTTTTGTTATATTGTAGATTTCCTTTCAGTATTGGCTGAAAAACACCCTCAGAACATGATGATGCCACAAAATATTTTATGGTTAGAATTTTATTTTCTGGATATTGTTGGATAATCTTCCTTTCAGCAATGCTTATTGGTTAAAAACTGCTATATACCAGGGACTTTCTAGGACTTTCAGCTGTGTCTAAAGTGGAATTGTTATTCTGAATTAGGTTATTCCTCAGTTCAGTTGTTTGGGCTGATAGATTAGGCGGGTGACCAGATATCAAACCGTTCCACATACTAATTAAATAAGAATAAATCAAATTTTGAAAATCTTAAGATATTACACTAATCATACTTTCATAACCTAACTGTGCTTTGAATGTGTCCACCTTCTCATTCTTGCTTTAACTGTTTTTCATGATACTGTTGATTTCTGATATTTTTTAAAAGACCTCTGAGACCTTTTAAATATTAGCTTTACTAAGGTTGAATAACCTACAAGCAGATGTTATTTACCAAAATGGACACTTCTGAGAGCATGTGGATGCACTAGATTCTTCTTTCAGAAGAAGATTGCATGGAACTCCTCTAATGGTTTTATCTTAAACTGTTAATTGTACTACCCCCACGGAAGTGGTTCATTGTGATACAATAGAAAATAGTTTGAAGTATGAGGCACATATGGTGTTCTATCAGACATACTGTTTTATCAGGCAGTGGGGGTCACTTCTGGAACATCCTCCCAACAAACATCAGGGAATGTCCCACTTATTGCACATTTAAAAAGCACCTTAAACAGTTTCTTAAAAGTTCCCAGTCATGCACTCACTAATTTTATTGTTGTAATGTCATTGTCTGAACGTGTGTCTATGTGTTTTGATATTGTATTACCGGTAAGTGATCTTGTGTTGTTTTGTCTTCCTGCATCAGGACGACAGATGTAAATTAGCAACTATGCTATAATCTGGCTCATTAACAATCTGTGCAGAAGTATAAGTTTGTTCATTAATGTTCTCTGTCCATTAAATAAATAAATAAAAATATGATAATGGGAAGAATTAAATTGTTTCAATGGTCAAAAAAGCGACCTGTGGAAACATCTCTCTCATGATAAACACCCATATTTAACCATTTTTGAGCTGCAGGCTATGCATCAACTGCTGTCATATTTTTAAAGCTGTTATCAAAGAGTTTTATAGTAGACATTTTTATCTGAAAATAATTTTATTATTCAAAATGACATTGCAGCTGCAGGGATTGGAAAAACAACTAGGTTCCTCAGTAAATTAGGTTAACCTACTGGCAGAAAAGACAAGCACCCAAAGTAGAGGATAGGTGCATGATCCAAAGGCAAAGGAAAATGATGTGCAGGATGTGAGGAGGAGGGGAACAGATAATGAGAGAAAAGGATGACTATATGAAAGAGGGCAAGAGGAGTGCATGTCAAGAATAAAGGAGAAGGGGGAGTTGTTTGCCTGAGGCTGCCTCACGGTGTGATGTCGTTGAATCTTCACACCGTGTTTTATTACAAAGAACTGTTTTTGAGGGTCTGGGTTATCAAATTGCCAACTAACTTATGTTGGCTGGAACATCCCAGCATGACTTCCTGCTGTGGTGAGTCACTAGTAATATTGTTCATGTTAGTTTGATTTTACCCCACAGTAGAGGTGTAAAAACTACCTTTGCTTGAAAATGTGCCTACTGTTCATTAGGAGGTGTGCAAGAATCATCTTGGTGCAAAGAGGAGTGTTAGGCTTCAAAAAGAGTAATTATTTCCTCATCGAAATGCAAAATTTATGAAGGAAGGATTAATTATCAGTTTATGCTAGTGGATTTCAAGATTAATTTTTTTACTTTACACACACACACATATACACACACATATATATATATGTATATATATATATGTATATATATATATATATATATATATATATATATATATATGTATATATATATATATATTAGGGTTGTCACGATACTAAACTTTTCAACTCGATACCGATACTAAGGAAAATATTCGATACTCGATACCATTTTCGATACCACAAGGATAAAAACAAAGACTCCAAAATTCAACAGAAATATTTTCATTAATAAATAAAATACAATAAATAAAGACAATAAAGGTTGTATGCTGTGCATAATATTAAGCAAGCTTGATAAAAAACTTATAAAATTCAAATTAAGTGTTCCTTCCTTGGCTATGCTTTGCACACATAACAATGACACTAGCCAAACCAGTTAAGAAACAAAAATAATTCTCAGCAGCTGCACCTGTTACAAAAAAAAGTCTGAAACTGAAAAGAGCACAGAATTATTCAATCACACAGTGTTCTGAAAGTGCATTGTCCTCTATTCTGCACTTTAAATGAATGACAGTTTAGGTGCCACTGGTGACGGCACTGTATCGATACTTTTAAAAACGAGTATTGTATCCGGATACAACATTTCAGTATCGATACTTTTTTGAGTTTCGATACTTTTGACAACCCTAATATATATATATATATATATATATATATATATATATATATATATATATATATATATATATATATATATATATATAAGAAGGATAGAAAGAAAGAGAAAGAAAGAAAGGAAAGAAAGAAAGAACAGACTTGAATAGCATCTTGTCTGCTGCTCATTAAATACAATGATTTATATGCTTGTCGTGCTGCTGGTCTCAGTTTGAGATTTTTCATTCCGATTGCATTATTTCATTTTTGGGCTATTAAATCAGGTTTAAGTAAATAAGTCATCAGTCATGAGATCATCAAAGAATATAGCTTTGAAAAGAAATGATTTAATACTAATGCATTTAGAAGAACATGCATTTTCCAAATCATTTATTTGTTTATATTCTGCAAAAATTGAAGTCAAATTCCACATTTTTCCACACTTTACCAAATTAAAAGCATAGCCTGAATCAGATAGATAATCTGTCATTAATGGGGTACATTGATTCTACTGTTGTTTGTACTGTGTTACCCAAAGGCCTCTCCTAATTGCAGATTCCTATCTAATTTTAATCACTGCACTACCAGGATAGAGGGGAATGCATTGCAGATTCTGTACGAAGTGGGCTTTTATGAGTTTGAATGGTAGACAACACAAAGGAGTGCTGCAACTGGCGAATGAACAGACTATTAATTAAACCCATACCTGTCCCCTTTCTGGAGTACATTCTTTTCACCTTTTTTCTCCCTGTCTGTCTCTCTTTTTGTCTGACAGAGACAGTGATGGATACAAGGACAGCAACAGCTGAGCTTGGCTGGATATCGTTCCCCGCCAATGGAGTAAGAACAATTTGCAATAGCTGCACTGTATGTGTGTATTGGTCTGTGTGTGTGCAGCCACCCATGGGGAAGCAGTTTTTATGACATTTTACAGAGTTCCATTAAGGAGTCAGTCAAAATTTTAATTACAGTGCCAAGGTGACATCAATTAACCACTACTGATGCAGAAAGAAAAAACATTTGAAAAGATCAGAATAGTAAGGCAAATTAGTCTGTAATAGAAAAGAATGAAATGAAATAGTATGTAAGATTTTGATTTAAAATCTAGCCGCTTGCTGAAAATGTAGGCTGACAGCTAGCTGGTCAAAGTGGTCTGCCTTGTGAGTGTATTTGAGGTGAGAAGCTCTAATTGTGATGAATCATTGTCTCAATGCGGCACAGAGAAAGTTAGAGCAGAGAAAAAGACAATGAAAAAGGGAGAAAGAGGATGGGGGGAAAATTGGGGAGGTGTGATAGAGAAAGTTTAATTTGTGTTTGGTCTTAGTAAACCCATTTATCATCTCTGTCTTACTGCCTCTCCCTCTGCTTCCTCTCGTCTTATACTCCATTGCCCTATCTTCACCCAAACATTGCCTAGTGGGAGGAGGTGAGCGGCTATGATGAAAACCTTAACACCATCAGGACTTACCAGGTGTGCAATGTGTTTGAGCCAAGCCAAAACAACTGGCTCCTCACCACGTATATCGACCGGCGGAATGCACAACGCATCTATGTGGAGATCCGCTTCACAGTACGGGATTGTGCTTCCATACCAAGTGTTCTGGGCTCCTGCAAAGAGACATTCAATCTTTACTACCTAGAAGCTGACAGGACTATGTCAGAGAGCATCAAAGGGGTGGAGTATTGGGCCAATGCCCCTTTTTTAAAGGTAAGCTCAAAGATGAAAGTCAGAAGAAATTATTTATAGAAATAATGATCTAAAAGTGTTACAGATAGATTTAGAAGTATTGTGTACTTTTTCATGTCACAACAGTCAAACACACAACTCAGGCATAACATCCTGACTGTATAGAGCTTTTTGGACAAAAAACAGCCTGATACGCCATTAAGACAATTGCAAAATCCCTAAATGCTTTGAAGTGTCTTACATCAAGATGTTAGCGGCAAATCTTTTAAATCCTTTAAGGCAAGGCCTCCATGAAATGAAATAGTTATTTCACCACTTTTCATAGTCCATTGGGTTAAAGTATTATCTTATAGTGCCACTGTCACACCATGATGGTTTAGACCAGTGTATGCCTGACGTACAGAAAAGCTGGTAAAAAAAAAAACGTTATCATATGTTGGATAAGTCATGGATATGTTCAAATTTTTGGGAATGCTGAAGTACGCTGAAGCACGCTGACAGACATAGACATAGGGCAAGTACATAGAGAAATTTGAGCATGCTCAAAATTTACAGACATATGCAGGCCAGGCGCCTCCAGGTGCATCGCTGCCCCCATCAGGATACTGGCTTATACATAATTTCATGGGTATTGTGCTGCCGTGCGTTATGCATACGTTAGGATGCCGTTGGACATACGTTCTGGACTCCTTATGAATACGCTAGTATACACCAAAAATTGAAAAAATACATAGAATGTTCAGTCTATGCCAGCGTTGTAGAAGATTCTGGGACGTCGGGCATACGCTGTCTAAATCGGCAAGGTGTTACAGGGCCCTAAATTATTTTGCATTATTTTAGAATTGCACTGCTTAAGATGACTGTATAACGGAATTATTTAGTGTTCACTTTTTTTTATTGTTAAAGACACCATATTCATCAGTTTACAATCCCCAATCATTTTTTTTGTCTTATCTTTTTCAAAAAATGCGACAGAGCAAGGTTCAGTGATACAGTATGTAACTTTTCTCTTCAGGTGCTGTTCATTAGTCCATCATACAGTATGTGCATGGGCAGTATCTCCCACAGGTGCCATTTATACTTTTTTGTTGGTAGGGCAATGTAAACACGCAGGGAGCAATTCATAAGGAAGATTTATAAGAAAGGAGTATTTTCTGTTTTTTCTTTGTTCTGATTCTACATTAAATGTATTTAGTTAAAAATAAATTTATATAATCCTTTTTAACGTGCAAAATGTTTCTTTATTTGATGTGCTGTACTTTCTAAAATTGAGGCTACTTTCATTCTTTCTGTCTGTTACTTTGAGTAAATAAATCACTGCTGCATTTTAAGGCACTGTGGGGGGAAAGAAGCTTTGCTTTCTGCTAGAAGGACTTTGTGTTCCATTTTTCCAATTGGTGGACAGTACGCTTGTGCTCAGAAAAGGGTGCAAGTACAAGGTTCAAATCCCACAGCCTGCCCTCAGAGGCCTTGAGCAAGACCCTTAACCCCCGATTGCTCCCCAGGCACAACACAGTGGCAGCCCACTGCTCCCCAAGGGGATGGGTTAAAATGCAGAAGTGAATTACTATATTGTGAGATCAATGATGTTCAATTATTAATTTTTTTCTTTGGTCTGCATCTCGTATGATGATGAATCAACAATCATCTGTCATCAATGGTTGATAAATTCATCCAACCTTGATTATTCCAATAACTTCTAGTAAATTTCCTTAATTGTTTGAACTACCGTAGATTTACATTAAGATCAGACCACAAGAGTCAGTCTTCCCTCCACATGTTGAACAATTGACCATGACTCTTCAATAAAGACAGGATAAAATACCACAGTTAAGTAAATCAGTCAGTAATGTTTGTTTGCATTTCACTGTTAACAGACCAGAGTATCACGGATGCTGTACAAAAAAAGAGCAATGAAATATCTGTGAGAATTTAGTGCCAATAAAAAAGATGAAAGACAATAAAAAACAATGAAACTAAACTGTTAGCAGAAAGCCTTTGTAAAAAAGAATATTTTTTTTACTGCTTTTTAAAGATTCCAGAGAGTCAGCAAAACAATAAAAGACTGTTCGACAGCCTTTGTGTTATTTTGGTGTCTTAAAAATACAATAATCTTAACTATTGAATAAAGACAGTGAGCAGCAGTATAGTTTGTAAGTGGATAAAAAAATGCTGATTTTTAGTACTCTGTACATTAGAGATAGAATTTTAAAAGAAATCCTAAAATCTATTGTTTGGCAGTATAAAAATATATGATAGGGCTCATATGCCATGGCTTGCTGGAATTTGTAAGTAGTCTTAGAATCCTATATGGCTTGGAGGAATAAAAGGGTTAATTTAAGCAAGCCAGTAAACACGGCATTGCAATAATCTAAATGAGATTACATGAATGGATGGATAATTCTCTCCAGTTTAGCTGAAGAGACGATATCAAAATCAAAGAAACCTCTAGAGCATTTCATACATGGTTTCAGCACAAGCTGAAATAGTAGATATTCAATAATACATCATGTACATGTGTACATGTGTCTAGATTAATCTAAAATAAATTAATTGATGGATGGCATTGTTGCACTTATTACTCCCCCCCCCCCAAAAAAAAAATCTATAAACTCTGGCTTTAGTGGTGCCTACAAAACATAAGCCAGTCCACTTATCCTAATTTCGATAGCGGATTGTCTACTTGTTTGTCAATCAAACATTTTGCACACTTGCTGCCAGAATGTTTTAACGTGGGCTCCGCCAATGCTTGTTTGCTGCTGTGGTCTTTTTTTGAACTATTTGTTTATTTTTCTGATGGTAAAAAACTGACTTTATGTGTAAATGTTCTCATCATGGAATATTTTTATTACGAATATGCTGGATTACGTTTTATCCATAGACCCTTACGGACAAATGGAAAATAAACAATTTATAATAACTTCAAATTCAAAACAATTTATAATACGGCCTCAGGAAAGCTTCAAAGGTTGGAAGTGGAAGCTTTATTTTAAAATTTCTGATTTAACATGCTGCTATATCTTTATTATATATGCTTTGGTGCTCATGGCTTCCATAAAATAAACTTGGTGGTTGAAGTGTGGAGAATCTAAGCTTTCTAATGATGTCTAACATGTCCATATTGGTAAAAGTTTAACCGGTGTTATTTTCAAGTGTACTTCTGTGTTTAATGTAAAAACAGTAAGTTGTAGCAGCAGCAGCAAGAACACACTAAAAACTGTAAATATAACATGGTGTTATAACCTTGGCAGAGCTCCCTCTTCTTATGGAGATTTCCTACTGACCAGGTGCATCCCTACACTTTGCTGCCTCTCTAGGTGAAATACAAAATTACTGGCGGAGGCGTTTCCAAAGTAAAGAACTTTTGCGAAAAAGGGGTTTTACTGATACATGAGCACGATTCAAAAATACACAAACAGCCGTCTGACATATCTTCCACCACAGAATCCTCTTTCATGCCTTTAAGTATGCTGATCCTCATGTTATCTTAATGTTAAAGTGTTTTTAACCAATGTTTATGTCTCATAACGTTCCATTTCAGCCACTATCTTAGAAAATAAGTCATTATATGAAAAAATAACAATTGAGACTATTGATTCTTGATGTTGTTTAGAAATATTCCCTAAATGAAACAGAAAGCTGGCAGATATCCCACATGTGAGTCAAAATCCTGACGTCACCAAATCAATAAGTTGGACAAAAACATGCAAACTGGATAGGGGTGTTGTATAAAGTTTACATAAAGCTTTAATCAAGGTCTCAGGTTTTTGAAAGATGTTTTTACTGGCATTTGATCAATAATCTGAGATAAACTAGGATGGACCGTTTTATAGCTAAAAAGATACATTTTTTCATCCAGTCTTTATGAAATTATACATTTGGGTATCTTGTCTAACTTGGTCAGACCCTTATAGTTGGCCATCTTTTGCTTGTGACACAGCATTCATTTCTAATGTTTGTTTCTAATGTTTGAGTTCACCATGTCTTTCTGACACCTTTATGTGTCAAAACTTTATTTTAACTTAACCCAAAATATTTTGAATTTAAAGCTAGTTTTATTAACATTGCCTATTGGTGCTTGTTATGTTATGCCTGACTGGTGGATAGAAGCAGTGGTTATTTGCATACATTTAATCAGTAATTTTCTAACATCAACAAAAAGCAGTTAATTTTATAATGGGGTTCATGACCAATTATCATTTCAACTTTCAACCATCTATTTCCTTCAGGTGGACACCATTGCAGCAGATGAAAGTTTCTCCCAGGTGGATTTTGGGGGAAGGCTGATGAAAGTGAACACAGAGGTTCGAGGTTTTGGACCACTTTCCAAGGGAAAAGGCTTTTACTTGGCTTTCCAGGATCTGGGTGCTTGTATGTCCCTTTTGGCAGTAAGAGTTTTCTACAAGAAATGTCCAAGCATTGTGCAGAACTTTGCTTTTTTCCCAGAGGTATGCAGTAGAATCCAGAAAAGTTTCCATCCTTTTTAGTTTGGTTTAGACTGAGTTATTTTCTAATTCTTTTTCAACCAGACACTGACAGGAGCAGAGTCCACATCCTTGGTTATCTCCAGAGGAAGCTGTATTTCAAATGCTGAGGAGGTAGATGTGCCTATAAAGCTCTACTGTAATGGAGATGGAGAGTGGATGGTACCCATTGGCAGCTGCAGCTGCAAGGCAGGCTATGAACCCGACAATGGCAACGTGTGTCGAGGTAAGTCTTCAATTTAAAGAAGGTGCCGTGCTCATGAAAAATGTTTTGGACAAAAGAAAATGTCAGTTGTATTATACAGCAACATTAAAAGAATTCAAATGTGGTTTTGAAAATGCCGAACTGTAAACTCTTGCACACCCCACATACAATTTACCAAGGCAGAGTGGCAGCAAATCAATATTGTGCAAACATGTTTCCAATAGTCTGTCATAGTAATGGCAGCAGTCAGCATCTGAAAGCAGCATGAGATGACAGATCATGCAAATGACCTTTAACTACTCAAAATATTGCCGTTATCATACATATATCATCAACTGTAAGATCCTGACTGAGCCTGTTTTATGAACAACTGTCTTTTGAGATTGTGTTCTATTTGTAATGCAATTTAAAACACAGTTATTTTTCAAAGTTTATGTGAACAGATCATAGCTTTGTAACATTAGCTGAAGAATTTCAAGCACATACATTCAACTAGAGAATAAAATTTATTTTTACCCAAGGTGGTAGCCCATGATGTACCATATGTTAATATTTACTGAGCCACCCTTAGATAAATGTGGTACTAAAATGAATCTTCTGGCCTCCTTCCCCATTTCCTCTCAGAAATAGTACTCATCATTTCTTATTCTCCCTGGAGAATCTCATCTATTGTGCCTGAGTGTGTGTCTGTGTGGAGGTGTGGCCAAACATGTGTGTTAGTGTGGTGGACGGAACTTTGATGTATGCACTTCTGGTGAAATAAGTGGGAATTCGTCTTCCAATGTTAATTACTTAAGTGTGTTCCTAACAGAAAAAGAGAGAGAAAGAAAGAACAGACTGATGAATAGCATCATATCTGCTGCTCATTAAATACAATGACAAATGTTTGTCATGCTGCTGGTCTCAGTTTGTGTTTTTTCATTCACATTGCATTATTTCATTTTTGTGATATTTAATCAGGTCTAAGTAAATCAGTCATCAGTCATGAGATAAATTTAAACACTAAAGAATGTAGCTTTGAAAACTAATTATTTAATACTAATGCAATTCTAAAAACCTCACATTTACAATTGAGCTAAACATGTTTGTATATCTAGTATGTATAAAACTGAAAGGTTAAATAGAGTAGAATAGAATCCACTGTAGGGAAATTCTGGTGTTTTTAGCAGCATAGACAAAGGTTATGACTTAAAAACGCTTAAAGGTTGAATAGCCTAAAAGCTTGAAAAATTTGAATTATTCTTCCTTCTTCTACTGCTTGTCCATCAAGGTCACGGATGACTGCTTTTCAATCTCCCATAGTCTGAGGGTGAAAGGCAGCGTACACTCTGGACAGGTCCCCAGTCTATTGCAGAAAATCTGAATCAACAACAGAATACACATTGGAATAGACTGTACAGTAAAGTAAAAACACATATCACAAAAAATAAATTCTATTCAAATCAGTAAAAATATGTTGTTATTTCTAAAGAGACATTAAATGCTGTAATAACGCATTAATTTTTTTTTCTTGTTTTTTGTTTTTTAATAAGTTGTCATATTTGTTAAACCTACTTCATTATCTTCCTTGTTTTTTTTTTCATGTTTGAAACAATATAATTGTTTCCAGACCATACCACAAACCCTGTTGAAAATATCGTACTCACTTTGTAAGACATCATTACTTTTCTATGGAACTGACTACAAGCCAACTTGGAGTCCTTATTTGTCATTTTATTTGATTGCATTAGGTCATGTATTGTAAAGTTTCTTCATCATTTACTTCAAATGGGAATAGTTGGCAAGTGTATTTTTTAAGCTGTTTCCTATTCAGAAGAAACCTTACCTTTGTTGTTTCACCTTTTTATTACCCAGTCCACATCCGGGGAGGTATTGTCTCTCAGATAGCGTACACAAAGGAGGAATCATGTTTAAGCATTAACAGAATTTATTCCAGTCATGTTAAACAATATCATTGATCCAGCCACAAATTGCAGAGGAAGACCTTCTATTAGGCTCTTACGTCTCAGCCGTTCAGGGGAAAACCCACTGAAAAGGCTGAGAGCTTCTGCCATATTTCCCTTTTTATCTAAAATCAGCCAGGAAATGTCTCATCCAAAAGCCACAAGTCAGCATCTAGGCCTTCTCACAGCCTACATCATTACCATATGGAGTCGCTCTGGCCAGCATAAGAATGTCCACACACCCAATGTTGGCTGACTCACACAGAAGAGTGAACAGATATAGAAATGAACAGATGTAAAAGTTATTTATTAAAAAAAAAGATAAAAAGAAATCAATCTTCAACACATTAATCCAATTCTACCCGACTTTAATAGGACTAAGTTAATTTTGTGTTCAAGCGCCCAGAACAATTTACAGTATAGCTCAGAAAACACTTATTTTTTGAGGACCACTGAATTCTTAGACAATTGGCCACTTCCTTTTTTGGTTTTCATTTTTGCTTCTGTATTTCTTTGGCTTAAGGAAAATATTTAACCAAAAAGTTGCATAGAATAAAGAAAAATGTAGGAGCCAGTAAATATTAAGGAAGCTACAAAGATGACCTAGACGGACTGGAACAGTCAGATTATATGACCAAAGATTTTTAGTATTTTAGGTTAAGTTCTCATAAACATCACATTGTCTGATTGATTGATTCCATCAAGATCATATTTAGGGATGCACTGATATGAAAAAAGGGCCAATATTGATATCAGATATTAATATTGCCATGATGCCAAAAAAAATTATAGAAAAAAATGGTCACACAAATGTGGACCTTAGAAAAATGTATAAGAGTGACATAATATTGAAGAGTTAAAAGATAAACAATGAAATACCTGGAGAATAAATAACCCTATTTACAGCTATGGACATTTTTACTGTAATGGATATGTGAAAATATCAGCAACATCAGAGACAGGGAAAATGACAGCAGCATGTCATTTAACTGACTAAGGTTTATATCATGCTTTTATTTGTTCATGCTCCCGGTGGTTGTCACCTTTCATGACTGTAGTCTTTGTCCACTTTACAATAAAAAGCCACAAAAGGCTGGACCTGTTTAAATTCACAGCCAAAACTCTTCCGGTCCCCTCATTTTCACGGACTTGGAAGTCTCCAGTCCAGGTAGACCATGTCCTTGGAATATGCAGGCCATAAATTTGAACGCATTCATTGTTTTCTGGTTCGTCGTCATTTCTTTGCCCTTCATAATTTACTTTTTATAGTTTTACTGGATTTCTGCATTTTTGTTTGTGGAGTTTTGCTTCTGTTGAAAGCCTTTCGATATTAAATCTGCAAGAAACCTTACACATACTATGTATCATGAACACCTTTTAGACTTAGACTTTAGACAGATTTTATTTGTCATTTTGTTTACACAAGTGTAAAACAAAAAGACATTTCGTTTGGAAACAGCTCACTGGACAATTTCCTCTTTTAAAAGTGCAGCTTTGAAAAATAGTAAAAAGACTGTAAATTTACAGTTCTAACAATTGTTTTATATATATATATATATAATATAAAATACATTATTTTATAAATAATAATAAAATGCAATACAGTAAGCCATTCTACAAAACATTCAGCAGTCTAATGGCAGTGGGGAAGAAACTGTTGTGGAATCTGCTGCATTGCATCCAATGCTTCGAAGTCTCTTCCCTGAGGGCAGCTGGGAGAACAGTCCATGGTGGGGGTGTGAGGGGTCATTTATGAATCATCTAAACATCATGATCAGTGCTAGTGTAATTGTTTAGTCCACAGCAGCCTTTTTTTTTATTTTTATTTTTTATTATGATTCAGTGGACAGTTTTTAGTGTATTTTTTTTCTGTCGGTTCTCGGGCTGAATGGTTAGAGAGTAAGACATTTTGTTCAATCCTCAGACAGTTACTCATGGTCCCTGAGCAAGATCCTTAACCCCAGAATGCTTCCTGGACACTGCAGGCTGTTCATTGCTCTCTAAAGGAAAGGTTATAAATGACTTCCTCTGCATCCCCTTAGGCTGTAAAATGGTTTGGTCCCTGACAAGAAAACTGTAAGAGACCAAGCAAAAATAAAACTAACATCATATTCTTATTAAGGGAAAAGGAGAAATACTTAAAATAATATGCCATAAACACATCTCTGCTGCAAAAATAATACTTACCATGATTACCTGTAATAGGTAGAAGATGTCTGCCAGAATCACTACAAAAGTCAACACTATCCAAACGCAAGCACATACAGTATGGTTGTTTCAGCCAGTGCTTCCAACCCTGCTGTGTTTGTATTAAAAGTAGGCTTTCCACATCAAAGCTTCTGCGATTTTCAGGCTCAGTGTCACAATGGTTCCAAGACAGTATTAGATCATTGTATTAAGCTAAGTAAAGCAAGATTCTTTTTCACTATATAATTCATTTGTTGATGTTAGTATGGTGTAAACTGATCCTCAGAAGTCTTAAAGCATTTAAGCCATTTATCTTTCATTGAGTATTCAAACTAAAGACAGGTTCAACAGACATCTGATTTCTGTGATGCTATGTCAACATACAGCTCCCTGATACTCTCACTACTAAAAAAGAGATAAATGGTTTTATAGGCCAGTATTTGTCTTGTGTGTCTTTCCAAAGTTGGCATGTTTTTGGTTCATGCCAATGAGCTGATAACAACTTGGCAGGAAGCTGGACCCACTCCTGGAACAGATGGTAATCTTTTTGTGAGGGTTTGCGCATGTCAAGGCACAGAGTTGGCATTTGTTTAGCACCAGATCCACATATTGTGCAAACCATATGGCGCAACTGGATTGTGATCAAACTCGTGTGTGTGCATATTTTTATGTGTAATTCTGAATGCATTTAATAAAATTTTCTATGTATTGATAATTTGACCCTTTACAAAAATATAGTTTATGTATACATATGCCATGTGCATGTACACATAACTAGCACAGCATTTGAGATACACTGAACAATATTATTTTTAGCTCTTAGCTTTCTACAGCTCCCTATCTTTACATCACATGTAAAGTTAGGGAACATTTGGAAAATGTTTTTTAAAT